TAAATCTGGCTATTTCTAATTTTTTTTCCATTAAAAGCTTGTGTTTGTTAGTTTAAATGCGAAGTTGGGATGTGGTTGGAATTTAGCCCAAAAAATTGCACGGGCGCCCTAATTGGTCTCCCCTATTTAACCTGTACCCTCTTTTTAATTTTTTTTTATCTTGTACCCACTGTTTAAATAATTTCAGGCCTTTTTCTCCTTCTTCTCCTTCTTCTTCTTCTTCTTCTTCTTCTTCATCATGATGCTTTACAGTGGTGAGCTGTTGTGACGTTTTATTTTTTACTATTGCTTAGGGTTTCTTCTTTTTCTTTTTCTTAATTTCAAAATGGGTTTGTTAGATTTATTATTATTTTGACAAATTGATGATTGGGGTTTGTTCTTGCTGATATTTGGAGGTTATGTTTTAAATTTGAGCTTATTTGGAGTAGATTTAGGTATTAAATCGTAAATTGGATTGTTAAAATTCGAAGAACAAATTTCTGTTTCTGGGCAATTTGCACTTCAAACCTTTTGGCCTTAAGTGCATCTGAAGTGTAATTTTTCACTTCAGACTTATTGGCCTTAAGTGCATCTGAAGTGTAATTTTTCACTTCAGACTTATTGGCACTAAGTATAGGACTTTGGCCTTAAGTGATCTGAAGTGCAATTTTTTACTTCAGACTTATTGGCCTTAAGTGCATGAAACTATTGGTTGCACTTCAGACCTATTTGGCCTTAAGTATATCTGAAGTGTAATTTTTCATTTCAGACTTATTGGCCTTAAGTGCATGAAATCATTGGTTACACTTCAGACCTATTTGGCCTTAAGTACATCTGAAGTGCAATTTTTTCACTTCATACTTATTTGCCTTAAGTGTAGGAAAACGTTTGTTGCACTTCAGACCTTATGGCTTTAAGTGCATCTGAAGTATAATTTTTCACTTCAGACTTATTGGTTTTAAGTGCAAGAAACCATTGGTTGCAATTCAGACCTATTTGGCCTTAAGCGTATTTGAAGTGTAATTTTTTTTTTACTTTAGACTAATTTTTTTTATCTTCAGACCCGATAAGTCTGAAGTTGATCGTAAAGTGGATATGCTTGTAAACTTTTTTGCAAAGTAGGTATAGGTTCAATTGTGACTCAAAAACCGAGTATAGATGCAAAAACCCCAATTTAATGGTGTGGTAACTTAGCCTAGGAAATTGTACAAAATAACCCAATCTCTTTTTATTGTCACACGGTAACCCATATTAACTTTTAAAATAAAATTGGTATCCTGTAACAAATCAAGAGGGCAGACGCTCGGTGGTGCGACATAACCAAAACTGACGCCATTTTTCCTTCCATCAATCATCATCCTCCAACACTATCTCATGAATTCTATCGAAAGCAGGCAGCAAAAATTTATCAGGGAAAACAAGAATCATGATTCTTATATGATAAATATGCATTTCAATTGAATGTTGCAGTTTTGCTGACTTATTTCTTGACCCATTGATTCCTTCTCCTATTTCCACCATAAAAAATTCTTTAAAAGAATCTTCAAGTGATGAATCCAATGAATCATATCTCTGTGTATATCATCTTATGTATCAGTGTATATCTGTTTATTTCATTTATATCATTATGAAATTCTTGTGTGATATATATATTCATACACAATGATGTGTATCAATGAAAATATTGTAAGAAAAATAATAAATAATATTGACAAGGAACAAGACGGAAAGAGAACAAGTTATCGAAAAATACTGTGTCGTGGCAAGTCACTGTCTTGAAAGTGATTTCGGCCCGACTGGGTACAAATCGTTAAGATCGGTCGCTCCCCAAGGTTCCACGGCACCTCCAAACACGTGCACTCGTGGCTGGAAGTTTGGAATTTGCACAAAACAATTGCCCAGAACTCTGTTGAAGACGAAGGTATTTTTCTGTGTTTAAAAACATCACAAAACAGCTCCAAATATAGATAAGATGGTAGAGCTGTTACAAGAAGGAAATGGGGGAGGGGCAAATCGAGTCGTTTTGCCTTCAAGATCAATTTCTCATGTGCGTAACACCACTCCCTTTTGCTAGCTCTTTACAAGCCCAACAATGAACAATTCAATATAAAGAGAAGAAAAAGACTTTTCATAACCAATGAGGGACACTTTGTCTTTCACAAAAGACAAAGAAGTAAAGAAGAAAAAGGAACCACAAAGAAATCTTTGACTTTGCAGTATCAAGTATAAATAATACCAATAATTCCCACTAATGCGAAGACAAAAATAGAATAAGAACACTTATGGGCAAAAGAATGAACACGTACTTAAGTTTCAATATTGTTTACCCTAAAAATCGAGTAACAATTAAACTTATATTGTTGTTTTAAGGATATGTGATTTAACCCAGTACCAATTGATAAACAACAAATTAAATAAATAAATTGAACAATAAAATAAATCAAACCTGTCTGTAAATAATGCCTCGACCTCGATTTGAGATAGTCTCGAGATTAGTTAATAAGAACAGTAGAGGATGGAACAAACAATGATGAACAATGATGAACAAAGAAAATAACGTATATGTATATTCTTATCAATGAATAATGATCCTTCTTTTACAAGTGAATGGGATCCCTCTTTATATAATAGAGGAATCCTAAATAAGGTACAACTATAATAATGGAAGTAGATCCCATGATTGGCACTAATAACCGCTTGATTTGATCTGATCCGGAATTTCCGCCGTGATCTTCGACCGGTTACTGATATCTCGTCATTCCGTTATTACGCCTTGCTCGACGTCAGTCATACTTGATATCGATTGTTGCTGGCCTCGATCTCAATGAATACTTCGATCTCTAGGCTTGATGTTCTATCTTCAAGCTCGAGCCTGATCTATTATGAGGTTACCCTCGGGGTAACTCCCCTGCCAACGAAATCGGGTATACCCGTTTTCAACCGTATACAGATAGTCCCCTCGTTTTTAGAGTGTAACAAGAAGAAACGAATTTGAGACTTTGATTTAATACCTCGATCAATTATGACGTCAACATCGTGATGTAAGCGACGGAAGCGATTGAAGCGTCGTGTCTGCACAGTTCCCAAGGTCATTAATTAATGCCAGTTGATGGTCGGCCACCAGTGCTTTCAAACCATCAAAGTGGCTATTATAAATAGACCACCTTCATAATATTCTTAAACTTTACTTTCAAACTTCTTCTAATCTTCAAAAGCTCTTCTATTCTCTTCAAGTTCATCAACTTTACCGGTTTCCGTTTGCCAATCTCTTATTAAAACACAAATTCCGCCTTCTTCTTCCTTAAACCTCATATAGCAATGCCAAAAACATCAAAGACCGTTCCTCAAGAGGAAAAGGCCTCATCATCACGGCCGGCCGGTGACAAAACACCGTTGGAGCCACATATCGAAGAGTGCATCCCCGGGCCATGTGAACTTACTTCAGATTTTAAAGTTGAAAAATCCTCTTCGGTTCCTGGCCGATGCGAGCCTATGTCTAGATACATCTGTTCTATATCCGAAGGCGATCTTGAGTAGGTGAAAAAAGATCGCCACTGGGAGAATAAAGAGGTAGTGATTCCTACCCCTGTGGAGGACATTACCACTCATGTGAAAGGGTTTTTAAGTGTGTATAGTTACCCTTTCACACTTGGTTCCGTCGATCCTGTCATAATCGACTTCTACCACCAATACCAGGTAACCCTAGGCCAGATCTACCCCTCTTTTTGGCGCATTGTCATTTTGCTCAAATTCTTCTCGAGCAAGGTCGAGGGGATGTCTTTCACCCTCGATCATCTCATTAGGCTATACAGTCCCCGTCTTTATCGGGGGACTGATAAGGCTTCAGCACCGGGCCATGAAGGTGCTGTTCTCGAGCATAGACGAGGACAAGGACCGAAAATGGATGGGCCGGTTTGTCCGAGTCAGTACCTCCGACTTAATTCCCGCCGAGAAGATGCCATTCCCCTAAGAAAGGAATATTAAGCGTAAGTAGAACCTCACCAATAACAATTGATTACTTGTTATGTTTCCTTTACCTCTTCTCATCTATATTCTTCTTTATGGTTCAGCTTCCCCATGGTCTCCTGGTGCACTCCCGGACCTTGCAGGTTGGGTTCGACAACTAGTTTCAACCTCTTCGTATGTTGAGCGCTCGTGGCGCGATTTGGCCAAGGGTCGATGGGAGGCCAAAAATCATGGTAAGTTCCCCTGTCCGTTTTGATGCTTTTCTGTGAAATACTTCTTTTTAACTCGATTTCTTCTCATACAGGTCTTGGAGACAATGTTGTCATGAGGTCGCCTCCCCTCGGGGAAGAGGAGGTCCCAAAGCCGACCAAAGACAAGAAAAGGAGAAGGGCCTCGCCTCCAGATACCCCAAAGCCCAAGAAAAGCATGGCTCGAAAGTCGAAGATTGATCCCACCGTTCTATCTGCCGATGTAGTCCAAACACTACGAAATGAAGACGAGGAGGGAGAAGATGTCGACTGCCTGCTGGTGGCTCGGAAGAGGGGAGGCATCGAAGCTGCTGAGCCGTTGACGGTCGAGGAGGTTCAGCCGTAGACCGAGGTGATCTCGGAGGAAGGTCCGAGCAGAGTCCCCGAGTCATCGGGTGTTGATGATGCCTCATGCTGTGATGAGCAACCGGCGGGCATGCCTGAAGGGTCTAGTTCTGAGGCCCTTCAAAGAGAAGAGAATGCCCTAAGTGTCTCGCTCGGGGCAATTAACATTGATGATTCGCCGCCCGGCCCCACGTTCTCTGAGGGGCAGTTTCGGGATGCCCGGTCCATGGGGACCCCCGATGTAGGGATGACCCCCAAAGGGGATGATATATTTTGCGGCTGCTACGTGGGGGTCGATGATGTTCCCGACCTGGACGCATCACTCATTTTTGATGAGGGTCAGCGGCTTCTGAACCAAGTGAGTTTTAGCCCATGTTACCATGTTTGCGTTTGTTTTTATTTCTCTAAGTCTAATTTCCTTACTTTCTGTACATGCTATGACGCTCCATCGAGAAGCGTCCTCCAAATACCGAGCTGAGCTGGCCTGATGTGCGACTGATCTCAAAAAGCTTATGGAGGAGAGAGACGCCCTCAAACTCCTCTATTTGCAAAAAAAAGAGGAGATCATGAGTCTTCGATCCGAGCTGACAAGAGCTCATCAAGATCAGACCGAGCTCATTGAACGGGTAATGTAAATTTTTGGGAGCTTGTTATGTATTAACTTGATATTGGCGACTAACACTTTGATCCTATAGGTTCAGCAGAAGGACGAATTGGTTGAGCATCTTCGTGAGGAGGCCAAGATGAAAAAGGCAGAGACTTTGGGGTGGAAGCAGAACATGGACCGTCTCGCCTCGAAGAAAGATGCAGTTCGGGTCCAACTGTCTTCGGTTGAGCGTCAACTCCAAAGTGTGAAGAAGGAGAACTTAACCCAAGCCCAGAAGGTTGAATAGCTCGAGACTCGGTTGGCCCTAAGCTTGCAAGGGACACACCCAAGGCAGAGGTGCTCGTGGCCTCCTACCGAGCCGACGTTGAAGCCACTAACACTCGGGCAAAGGAAATTTCTGACACTGTTGAGGTTAGATTGTCCCGTGTTGTCGAGCATGCTAGGCGCCAGTCTTGAAGAGAGACTCTTGAAGAGGTACATGCTCGTAGCTTCAACCTCACGGCTGATATCGAGAGTGCGAAGGTTTTGGAGGACGAGGCCGGAGCTTTGCTTTCCGATGATGAAGACTCTACGAGTGGATCTGAGAGCGGAGGAGATGAAGATGAAGCTCCCGAAGATGCGGCTCCTGAGGCGGACTATGCACTTAGGATTTTTCTCCTTTTGTTTTTTGTGTAAGACCCTGTATGGTCTTTGTAAATTCTTTGCATATATGAAAGATTCCTTTTCTTTCCGTTTCGTCTCCGATTTCTGATTTATGATAAATTCTGTTTTGCCTTTGCCTTTGCCTTGTGAAAACTTTGTTGCAATTGGGTTACTGTAGCCTCTATAATCGAATGAGCAATAGCTCGAACTCAGAGTAGAATAAACCCTTAGGTTTTTTAGTTAAGCGAGGGCGAGTCCCCGAGCTCAACAATATGTTCGGACTTTTGATTTCGGATGGCTTGATCGAAGCCGTAATTGTACTATTTTTATAGCCGAGTTCGAGTAAGTTTTGAACTCACAGTAACAGATCCCTTAAGATTTTATATCGAATAATAATAAATCCTCGAGCTATATTCAAGTCAGTTCTTTTGAGCTCGGAATAGTGGAACCCTTAGGTCCGAATTGAGTGAGAACAAAATCTCGAACTCTAAGTGTATTGGCCCTTAGCTCTTTAGATTAGGCCGATATGGCCTCTGAAAGATGGCTATTTTTTTCCTTTTTCGGCTTAGAAGACTTAGTAAAAAATTTCTTTATGCCTTATCACGTATTCTTTACCATTGGGTTTTTGAGGGTTCGATGTCGATTGAAACCTCTTTGCTTTTTGTGCCTTAACACGTTTGTGTTATGATAATTTGATACCTCTTAAGGTTTTTCGAGGGCTGATTTTATCGAAACCCTTTTGATTACTTGCCGAGGGTGGCCTTTTTTAACCGGTTTTTTAAAAAATTCGAACGCCTATTTTTATTGCGGGATTCGGACGTCTCTGAGCCGCCTTAATTTGGCTGTAGCCTTTGGTTATGCCTCTTGGGCTTATTTCCCAATAACGCTTCGAACTTGTTTGAAGTGTTAGTCCCCGAGAATGATGGCCTTGGCCTATAGATCGAGGGGTGCCTCTTTGAGGTCTTATGAATTTGAGTTTAGATTACTCAAATATGTTGATCATCGATGGCAGTCCCCGAGTGTACGAGGTATATTTGCACTTAGCCCTTGAGCCATTTCTCACAAAATCATAAGTATGGAGCTTGTATAGTAGAAAATTTTCTTTAAGACACAAGATGTTTGATATACAAAGAATGCTTCTTTGTATAATTTATGCATGCGTACATATTTTGCCATCGAGGCTCGACTAATCTATACGAACACAGTTCATTCGACCGTTTGGCCCCTTACAAAGTTTCTCTATCGAGACCCTTTGACACGAAGTATTTTCCTCGAAAGTGCAACATCCGAGGGTGATGCCCCCCCAGTATTCGAGGTTGATTGTAAAGAAGCCTTGGATACTATTGAATTGTCCTCAGGTAGTACATAATTGTTGTCTTATTAAAAACCTTGTCGGAAAAACCCATTTTGGACAAAAAACGATCTAAGGGAAAAAGAGTGCAATGCGTGCTTTAAAACCTGAGTTCTCGATGTCTTCAATCGAACACCTACAGTGAGTTAGTGTCGAATATATAAATGAAAAAAATGGAATAAAGTTGTACCTTAGCAATAATACCATTTGAGAAGCGATATGTTCCAATTATTTGGCAGTTATTCGCTGTCCATCGTGCCGAGCTTATAAGATCCCTTTCCGACGATATCGAGGACTTGGTAGGGTCCCTCCCAATTTGGGCCGAGCTTTCCTTCATTAGGATCTCGAGTGTCGATGGTGACTTTCCTCAGGACTAAGTCCCCGACTCTGAAGTGGCGAAGGTTGGTTCTCCTATTGTAGTATCTTTCGATTCGTTGCTTTTGTGCATCCATTCGAACGAGTGCGGCTTCTCATTTTTCATCCAATAATTCGAGGCTAGTATTCATAGCCTCATGATTTGACTCTTCTGTTGTATGTCAAAACCTGGCACT